CTTTCCCTAGATTCCATCTTCCCAAGCCCATTTCTGCTGGGCAGCTTCCCCAACCTGGAGGCGATGTCCTGCAGGGCCTGTTGTTGCTCATCCTCCTTGGTGAGCTTGGAGAGCCGCAGGAGGAATTCGTCCACCTCCTGGATGGTGAGGAGGCTCTTGGCAGCTGGGGGGAAAGACTTGCTCTGCTCAAAGAAGACTCTGATCGTCTCTGACACGTCACCCTGTCTCCAAAAACCAAATGCCACTGCAACAACCCCTGAGTGGCCAAGTGTGTCCCCCAAACCCCCAGGGCTTGAATCAGAGATTTCAATCATCACTCTTGTCCATAGCTCACACATATCGACCTTACTTCTTAAAGAATCTATCCCACCCACAGTCCTGGAAAGGGTACCCCCACCCACCAAGGGTTCTGGCCACCTGCCTTAATGAAAAATGAAACAAGGACAAATCCAGGGCTGAGCCAATTTGATTCCTGTTAGAACCTGAACTAAGAGACCAATACGGTCATCAGATAACGGGGTACTTGGACAGAAACTTTCCATGCAGTCATGAACAAACCAAAGCTGAATGGTAAGCCCAAGTTATAGGGGAGAAAAAAGCAAGAAAAACTAAGGTCCAGAATAAGAGTCCCAGGAAGGACAGCAGGAAGTCTCAAATCCTGACCCTCGAGAGCTAGGCTTTCATGGCTCAGCAGTATAATTTCAGTCCTCAGAACCTTGTGAAACTAACAGCTGTAGTCTCACATTCAGCTCCTCTCAAACGGAAATTTGCGCAAATCGGTTTCAGTTTCTTAAAAAAAATATGTGCCCCAACTAGAAAAAAGAGATTGCAGGTGCTTGGCTTGGCAGAACCCCACCTGGAATGCCCCTGACCTTGCCCTTCCTCTGACCTGCTCTAGGTCCCGTGCCATATCATCTGGGTTGCAGTTAAAAATGCGGCTAAAAAGCTTCACGATCTGCTTATCATTCAAGTTGTAAACACTCTTAATAACACCTGGTAGAAGCAGCTTCACTGTTAGGTACACATCACCGTGGAAACCATCTGGAGACAGAAGAGGAACCCTTCTTGAGAAATAAAGCTTAAACACATACATTAACTCAAGGAATTGCAAGAGATGTCTACATCACTACCTGTGATGCTATAGTACCGTGTGCATTTTATGACACTAGCAGAGACCATGGTGTTCTTTGGTGGTGGCTGGGGTTTATGTGTCTGCATCCCCAAATTTAGCCCCTGGATGAACTACTGCAGTGCAGAGCCATGACTTTTACTTCAGTGTGCCCAGTGACGAGCACCTTATAGATGCTCAGTGATGATTTCTTAGATGAATGAAAGCAGGGTTGGAAGATTCTATTCCAAGCTGTGCATGTGAGTCACAAAAACCTAATCAAACATGTAGGATAGTGAATATTCCTCTTAGTCAAATGGAATAGAGTCTTTTGACTTCCTGGGGGTAGAATAGGGCAGGGGAAGAAAGATGCCAAGTGCTCAGAGCAGAACTGGCTACATCCTTTGTGCGGCCCAGTACAAAATGAAAATGTAGGGCTCGTTGGTCAAAATTATTAAGAGTTTCAAGCCAGCAAGAGCAGAGCAATTAAACCAAGCATGGGGCCCCATGCAACTGAACAAGTTCATATGCCCATGAAGCTAGCCATGGCTCTGGGCTTTCCAGGGGAAAAGCCCACCCAGGATGCTCTAGGTCCTACCTCCTGCTGAGCCTTTCCGAAGGAAGTCCTGGATGATCTGAGTCTTCATGTTGTAGCTAGGATTTTCAGCCACTGTGGCACACAACTTCCGAAACACACGTAGCAGACAATCCTTGTGCTTAGGGTCACATTTGCTTGAGGAAAGACTTCTTCTAGGGGTAGGGCTTGAGCGGGCTTCCCCAGAGTTGTTGGGCATGGCTGTTGGAGAGAGAAAAAGGGAGAAACAGCATAGATAATTCATTCTGCCTTGCTGAAAAGGAAGAAAGAAAAACTAACAGGCACTCTGCTGGTGCTCTATGTGTAGCTTCATTTAATCTCCCCATATAGCCCTTTGAGGTAGATACATTACGCCTATCTTACAGGTAAAGAAATGGAGATCAAGTAATTCCCCCAAATCTTACAGCTATTAATGGTAAAGAAACAGCGGCCTCACACCCAAGCAGAGGACCAGCTGATGTACATCTTTTTATATGAGCACTTCACAGAAGAAAAAAGGCCACCTTCATGCCAAGAGTGGTTAGAAGGATCTCAGAGCAATTGTAAAGCTGAACCCAGAAAAGTTGGGATGAGGAAGGGGAAAGAAATCATGAGACATGTTAGTCAATGTGAAACCAATGCTACCACAGGCTGTTAGAGCTAGAAGAAGCCTTAAAGATTATCTAGTTTGATCTCTTCTTACTGATTAGAAGACCAAGGCCTGAGAAGACATTCCCAGCCCCTTGCCGCTCCCACCCACCACCATCACCATGATCTTTTCTTTCTTATTGTCAAAATAAAAGGTTTTCGACCAGCAGGGTTTTTCTCCAGATACCCTAAAATAACTGTGTAACTCTTGAGTGATCCCTTCTTAAGTTCTTGTGACCATTTACAAAGCAAATTTCACTCTGCAAGCTTGCAGGAGAGCCATTAGCAAGCAAGTTGCTGATGTAAGCGTCTTCTTGTCTGGGCTTTGTAAATTATAAATGCATCCTCATCTCTGACCTGGAGTCTAAAGAGGATTTTAGGGGACAGAACCTCCAAAGT